TGGAATGGTTAGGGAATAATTTTGCATGAATTGTTTTAATTATCAGTATAAAAGTACTATCATTTATGTGGTAGAATACAATATTTATTTCTTGCGCTATTGTACACTAACATGACAATTTATATTACATTAAAAAGTTTATCTCTCAGAAAAACGAACATTCGCGCAAGCGCCGCAATTTTCAATCAGGTCACGTGTCCTGACGCGAGTTTAACATTTCAACATAAAAAAGTGTACAACACCGCTAAAGAAGTTTTCTCTTCAAAAACATCTGTTGTTTATGAGATTTTGAGTAAACAAATTATATATGTAGGAAGTAATGACCTAATATCCTATAACTAATAATTAATAAACCTTAGTTCGCCTGTTTAAACGGTCATTTAATTTCAATATTTTTTTAATTTCGTGTATACCTATTTTAGTAGAAAGCTAACACACAGGTGAATAACAAAAGTTTAAAAGTGCTAAAGCTAATTAGAATTATATACGTCAAACATGATATTCTTTTCTAACTACTGCATTACGAGTACGCTACACTGTGGCACAATATCTGGACGTAACTTTGAGTGGCGCGCAGCCGATTCGCGCAGCTTTTTGACATGCTGCGTCTTTGCGTACGATACGTTAGCGGGGGGTGAGGTAATGTTTGCACACCTACACACCGCGCTGCAAGATCGCCTTAAGACATTTATAGTAAAGCGGTTTTATAATATGACGGGTATGTATGGAGTCACTCCTCTCTCAAGCTAACTTTGTTAGCTTAACAAAAGAGAAGTTAAACTCAAACTCAAAATATCGTACTAGACGTTTTTCTGTCCGCTTTTCGTTGTTTGTGAAACCTATACCTAATTTCATCAATATTCGTACTTCATAATTGGAGAGGCAGCACTAGCCTATTAAACTCTTAGCGTACTTTCTATTTTTTTAATGACGTAGTTGACCTGAATTGTAGACTTACGAACCAATTTTCAGCGTTCAATGGATCCTTATAGGTGTGGGATATTATGATATTAATAACGTTCATGAAAAATATTTTCCAAATGTCACAAAATTTTAAATCGAAAGAACTGATGAAATATGTAGCCTAAGGTCTGTTTGCTTGTTTAAATTTAGCAAACAGCATTGTCTTTTGATTTTCAGGTTTAAGACGACTAAGATAACTTACGAAACCTTGTTGCTTTATAAGATTATTTCGCTCTAAAAAACCCTCAAAGGCCCTGAAAATAGAATGGACACTTTTTGTTTTTATTAACATTTTTTTAATTTTTGCCTTAAATAATGATAGTTGAAATTCTAACAGCTTATTTAAAATCCTACAGCAAATATTTTACTTTTAATCTTGTAAAATAGTTCAATATCCGAATAACAGTGGTGAACGAGATATTTTTAACTTGGTGCCTTGTGAATTTGTCGTCAGTGTCGTCACAGTGCGGAGTGTACAGCGCAAACACATTCGTTTATTATTACTATAGCATGGAGTGCAAGTGTACATCTGTTGTATAAATCCCGACGTAAATGCTTTCTGCTGCGGTAATCTCACTAATGGATACCAAAGTTTGGTTGAATGTTTATGAGTGTGGGGTGACTCAATTTGATTATATCCGTACTTTCACTATTACGAGCAGCTATCTTACTTACTATGGAAACATGCAAACACAGTAAAACCTACCTTTTAATTCATTGGTTTAAGTACGTAGGAAGCATCGCATATTTGAGATATATTAAATGGTTAACACCACATGATCAATTTATAAAACTTACGATATCAAGATTGACAAAGGAGCGTAAATTAACAGTTGTACCGTAGAGTTAGAAGATTGATTCTAAATATACATGTATTTCAACCCCGCTTGTATCGTCATCATCATCAACAACATTTAATAGTCCACTGTTGGATATAGGTCTTTCTTTAGAAAGGAGGTTTAAGCGTATTATTATAAGATAATAATAAATATTTATTCTCTTTTCACAAAAGGTTGCCTTAACAAAATAATACAGTAGTGAGTTAGCTTCTTAAATCCACATTTGTGAAAGACTGGTGCCTGATGTAGGTTGAAAAAAGAAACCTGTGTTACAGGTCACCAGGCCCTCCGCGTTGTAAGAATAGGAGATATTTACTTACGGTGTATTGTCCCGTGTGAGAAAAACAATTAAACAAATTAAGACTATTACAATACTAAAAAGAAAACAAAGAGGACAAATATTCTTTACTTAAAAAAAGCAGAATTAAAATGAAAATAAAAGTGTGTGTACGTGTGTGTTTGCGTGTCTCTCTCTGTATGTGTGCACGAGTGTGTGCGTAAGTGATTGTGACTAGTGAAGAGTGTGTGAGATTGTGTTGCGAGTTTGTCATTAATGATAGCAGGGTTAGGGAATATTCAGCATAGGACTTCATTTGAGAATGGTCATTATATTTTTAGTTGTATCATTTTCCAGGGTTTTCAGATAACATATTATACCACGCGCTGGCCAGTTGGGTATAAGGTTAGTTTCAAGTTTGCCTACTATTGGTAGTGCTGTTGTCCTGCATAATTTGGTGCCTTAGTCGGCTCTTGCGACACCCATGGGATCAATAGGGATAGTGATACTCCGTATTCTTAAGCCGTCAACAATCGGAACGGTGACGTTGTTGTGTCCCTCTTATATAGGTGTCAAGTTTAAAAAGATTTCATTAAAGCACGTTTTAAGTCAGAATTACAAAAAAGTCATCAAAGTCATAATCGATCATAACACTGATGAATTAATAGAACCTTTTATTATATTTATAGAAATGTTTGTCTAAGCTAACTTTATCATAATGATCTTTATTATCTTTTTATTTTCCTACTCGTATTATAAGAAATTAAAATAGGAACATTAGATAAAATCTATTTATTACGACCAAAACAATTTTCCGTTTGATATTAACACCATTAAATTACCCAAAACACAAAAAATTAATACAGTTTAAAATATTTTCTTTCTTTAAACCTTTATAAAAATGTTTACTTATATAAAGGTTTGAAGGTTGAAGGATCAATGAAAGTCAGGTAGGGCGAATATATGATGTTCCGACGAACTTAACACGCCCCCATAACTACTATCTATACATATCAATTTACTTACCCTCACTGACTGACTGATTGATCAACTAGAAAACTTTGGCAGCTGATGCTTTTTATGTCGTAAGCACCCACTAAGAAAGGATTTTTGATGAACGGTTGTATGGAAGTTCAAAGTTGGAAACACGAAATATGAAATAATCAGCCGAGTGAAGCCACGGGAAATAGCTAGTTATATATTATATCTAGTTATATATTATATAATATATTATGAACGGTCACTTACGACTGTTATATTTATAATTGCCCCATCCTCACCCTACAGCACTATAGCAGATTTTGAATTCCACACTCCTCAGCCAATTTATTCCCTGGTGGCCAGGGGAACAAATTCCAAAGGGAATAACTCTAAATCCATGCGAGTTATACACCGCTTCTAAAAGTAACTAACTTAGTAATAGCATCTGAGATTTCTGACCTTGTGTCGTTTGGGTACTCTCTGGACCCAGCGGAATAGAAGTCGAGACTTTAATTAGCCAATAAATTTTAACTTTTAGGATGACTCGTCAATTAAAACTTTGTTGGACATTTTAGAGGTGAAACAATTCAGTTAGAGACACTGCTACAATTATAGCTGCAAACTTAATGGTTGTGTATCTGATAGAGGGCTTTTTGTCTTACATGAAGAAGATTTGATAGACCCAATCTGAGCAAAGTGAAGGCGAAATACAAGAAACATGTTATAAAAGATTGAGACATGACTGATGATGATTGAGATTTGCAAACCCAAAACAGTGATAAACAACGAACTGTTTTAATATCATCAGCGCATAGATTGAAACCATTTAGTCTTAATAGAAGTAACTCAATAAATGCAGACTTACTTAAATGTTACGACAGTTTTATAGCACAATTCAGTAGTCATAAAAATACATTTAAAAGAGATTTATATATCGATAGTCTAATTAGAACGACTCAATCTGGCATTCACCTTGACCACTCCTGACTTGATTAGTCACCGAACCGTGCGTGAATAGGACTTAAGGAGACACGCTCCTATATTAGCGGCTACTACAAAAACTCTTATCTGTCAAGAAAAAGACTCGTCACTTTATTTAACAATGCAAGGTATGAGAATGAAAATTTTATCGAACTACGAACGGAATACTTTTTTATCATTGTCAACAAAAGAAGTATGTTTTATAACACTGGCCTTGGCTGGCTGTAGATGTCTAGATCGAGTGACAGATAGATATGTATGTCTGACTTTTCTGAGTGTTCAGTGACTGATGAATCATATAGACGATTTATGACGGAAATTTTATACAACACTTGGATTTCTACAGACTTTAACTGTAATATGTAGAAGTATGTGGTTACTGTTATGTTCAATAATGACTCGTTGCTTTCAACTCGTACCTATATGAAATACTTAATAAGGTTTAATGTTATGGGTATGAATTTTATTAGTCGTGAATAGGGGGTCATCCATTAATTACGTCACAATAATTTCATTGTTTTTGCCGTTGCGTTGGGAACCAGGTATACCCTAGAAAGGAAGTCCCTGGTGGTATGAGTCGACCCCTGCCCCCTGTGTTCAGAGGGAGGGTGTGGAGTCTTTGGTCTCTGGTACTTCACTCACTCACACAGAGAACTATAGTAACACATAAATAAGTGAAATTGGTATCACAGAATGAACGAAACGTCGATCTAGTAAATATAGTAAGTGCTTCGAACGTTTCTACATTATCGTTTGTGGGTGCTTGAACGTGAGGTCATAGGCCCCGAAACCGAGACAGACTTTAAGTCGTTTCGGCAGCGATAACTTGTAACTCGATAACTTCGAGGTGCCCTCAATAGGGTGGAAAGTGTACACATACCAATCTATATTTGTTACAGGAACCTAAAAGAAGTAAAACATAACCACAAATATACATTACTATAAGTACATATACTTACGCTAACAACATGGTGTACCGTCGATGGTGACTGCACCCTAGATCTGATGACAGCATCGTCAGTCACGACAGCCGGGTCCCTCGCCAAATCCGCCGTCGACGGTGACTGACTTCTGCTGGAACCCTTGCTGTGACCGTGACCTACGTGCAGAGTATCCATTCTACCATTTATGGAACTCTTTCTTTCTGTGCTTTGGTTCATAATAGCGTGAGATTATCCGTTATCGCCATTGCTTCAAAATCTCAACTGAAAATAATAGAGAAATAGCTTAATGGAAACCAAGGGAACATAAAGTTTTCTGTGTCATTACTATATCGTAGATAAATCGACAAATTGTAATTGAAATATAGTTAACATACAAATATCCAAAAGTTTTATAATAAATTTCATATATTATATTTACTTTAATTTCATGTGGTGGCTCTTCGTAAAAGTATCGTAATTTTGCCATATCTAACAAACCTAATCTTAACCTTAATTAATCTCTTAATCATTAATCTTAACCGTACTTAACAATTACTACGTGACACAATAAAATACCTGACAATAATACATAAAACTTAGAATACGGTCTACTTAGGTAGTTGTATTACATCAAAAGGTTTTATACTCTTATGGTATCCATATAATCCTTGTTTTAATATATTTAATATAATTCACAACAATCTCTAAGCCCGCAATATAATTGAACTATTTTATTTTCAGCTAACTTATCAAACAATTGTTAATATGCGTTATATGAATCATGTGTTCCGAATGTTATTACAAATTCCTCCTGGGTTTTGTAATGTCCTGTCTGACCTGTCTCAACCTCAAATAAAGCTAGAGGGTTCATCGATAGGTTAACCACCCATTATAACAAAAGCCGGTTTAGAAGTGTATAAAAAGAAATAAAACCGGATCGCTAAATTTTCAACGACTGCACGGATGGCGTAGTGGTTTAAGCGGTCGCCACGCCGCTTCCTACTGCGCCGAGTGTTGTGGGTTCAAATCCCACATGGGACGACACTTTGTGTGATCCACAAATTGTTGTTCTAAGTCTGGGTGTTCTTTGTGTCCGTTTCATGTATGTTTGTAAAGTCCCCCGCGACACAGGAATGTATTCCTAATGCGGGAGTTGCCATTGAAAAAACAAGAAACAAGAAAAACAAGAAATTTTCAACGAACTCAGCTTAGATTAAAGAAAGGATTAAACTTTGAAATCTAAGTTACGTTTAAGATTCAATTCGTAGCCCAAATTGTTTCAATACGTAAATTTTATTATACAGAGTAAAATCTTGCAGAAGGAAGGTCAGGGACAATCCAAAATGGAAATACATATTTCAGGTATTCACAAGCTATAAGAATAGTATAACCAATACGTATAGTAAGGCTGTAGTGCTGAGTGGACTATGTACTTTTTGATATACGTATTGATAAATGTAATATAATAACAATTGAATTCGAGGGCTCGAATTTCCCGGCAACAGCCAGTTCTAGTTGCAGGGTTTGGGGTTAGCTAGTGAAAGGACTTTTTTAACGGGACTAATCACGGGACGCTGTAACTCCTGTAAACCAGGATCAAGAGCAGTGACCCACAAACACACCGAGTTATGGACACTCGAGAAGTCCCAGAAACAATTCAACTGTATTGGAGCCTGCTACGAAATTAATCAGAAAAAATTAGATTTTGGCAAAGCGGTCAATTTGCTGTCATTTTTTGAAGAGTTCCGTTGTCTGTCTTCGAAAGTCATCATCAGATCTATTTGAAATTGAAATGGGACCACTTTGGAATAAACTCCTTTCGACCACCAATCCATTCATGTATTCGACATTCCTTTCCTACCATTCTTCCTATCTACTTAGTTTAATACGGCACTACTTATCCCATAGGGGATATAGGCTCAGTGTATGTATATGTAAATATAGAACGCAGCAGTAACATATGGTACTATATTTCAAAATAAAACTACTTGCTGTCCATAACTGGTGTGTTTTCCTTAACCTACAAATTATAATAGGCCGGATTAATTACATTGTCAGCTCATCTATACACTACTATGCAACAATTTGACGTGACTGGAAAACATATTTAGAACTGCCGGTAATTGCGTTGTGTACTAATAATAAACAGCACGCAATGTCCAGTGTGTTTTGGTTTATCTACAATAGCGTGGATGTGACTGTCGAACAGAATTATTGTACTTTAAAAATTACACTACAGTAGAAAAACTTGTAAACGTGCCTAATGATTATGGAAAAATGTGATTTGTGTTTACATATCATACTAAAATCAGAATCTATACAATTATAATCTGCTGCATATAATTTGACTGCACAGATGCCGTAACGCTTATATGCCATCTCGCTAACGCCGCGAGTATTAGGAGTTCAGTTCCTAAAGGTGACAAAAAATGTATGTTAGGCAAAGTTAGTTGTCCTGAATCTAAATGACTACGCGTCTGAAATATAATGCCTCATGAAGTAGATGTCTTAGTTTTAAAATTTCATAAGCGACTGAACCCCGTCGAGTTTGGGTTCGTTGGATTCGTCCTCCCAAAGACTCTGGTAAAGCTTTTTGTATGATTATTATTCTATAAACCATAATGTTTTTAAATAATTTCTCATTTCAAATTGTGCTGAGGCTTAATATTATCTTGTGACCAACTTTTTTTTACAAAAACATTATTTAGCATTATTAAAGCCCCGAACGGATTTCCTACGAGTCACACAAGCTGAGAAAATAAAGGGCAAAAAATCGCTATTTTCTTTCTCGTACAGTTTCTAACGAATTTGACTTCAGCAACTCTCGTTTTGTTCGATTTTTTTTTCCGTTAAAAAAACCTTTTTCCAATGTATTTGTTAAAAAAAAACGAGTACTTTTACCCGAATTATCCCGTTGAAAAACCAGGCAGTTTTTTTTTCGATCTAATCATTCTCAGCCTGTAGGTACGAAGTGACAATAAAAAACTATGCCATAACAGGTCCAAAAGGACTTAAAAATACGCGGTGATTATTTTAATGAATAAAGCAAAGACGTGTTATTTCTACTATTAATAACTCAAGAAAAGCTGGACCGATTTGTATAATGTTTTTTCTCTGACCATAAAAGCAGAATAACCAAAATAATTCAAAATAATAAATAGATGAAGAGCAGAGATGTGGCTAAAACCGCGGGTAAAACTGAGGGGAACCACTTGTTTCGTAACATAAGCAATTCTAAATGCTACGCCATTAAATTTGACTCACACAAATATATTTGTGTGTGTTTAATGTATCATACGAGTAATAGGCTTTACATTGTTTATGGCATAACATACAGACGGCTTACAGTGTTTTGACTGACAGATAAGCCGATAACCGGCTATGCTATCTTACGGATTACCGTTTATAGAATATTTTAGTAGAAATGGCATTTCCGTCTACAATGCCGTTTCTATTGTGTCTTAATTACAAAAATAACATTAATATTCATGTTCAGCTTATGTTTTTATAAAGAATATTAATTATACGAGGATATAAAGAGAATATAAAGTAAACGGGTAATATAGGTTTGAGCGACTAAGTGGTTTGGTACCACTGGTTTCAAATTTAAGCCACCATAAAAAAAAATATAAAAAAACCAGACAGGAATATTCTTTATCAGCACATCATTATCAACAGCCTTTAATAGTACACTGCTGGACATAGGCTTCTCCTTAGAAAGGAGGTTTTGGTCTAGTATAGCACACCACTCTATATTTTGTTGTCAACTTTATAAACCATAGTTACCCCTACAATACCTAGGTATTATATAGTAAAGAATAAAATGTTTCTAAAACGAAACTTAGGTACACTCATTGCGTCGGCGGCTATACCAGCCGTCGACGGAGCCGCGGGCCGCCAGAGAGTGGGGACCTCTGCGATAGGGAATAGGATGGCGGCCTGATCACATTAAGACGCAATCGGACTGCCACGCCGCAATTGAAGGAGGAAGTCATTGGACAGGGCCGCATTAGGCGTGGTGTCGTTTCGGGGAGCACCTGAAATTACATGGTGCACCTCCCAGAGTAGGACGCCCGAGCCTGGCCGAATGGTTTTTAGTGGAATCACCACATACTCCTGGCTCCTGAATCCCCAAGGAGCAGGCAATCCGAAGGGATTTTCGTCAACAAAAAAGAAAAGAAAAAAAGGTACACACATTAACACCCAAACAGAAACACACATTTAAATTAAATTGATATGATGTTATGGGAGCTACAACTGCCAACAAACTGCTTGTAGTTTGGCAGTAGTAAAGAGGTATTAGAGGGTTGTGAATTTGTAGATATTATCGTGAATAAAAAAAAAAAGTAGACAGATTGCAGATACATTTACAGATATTAATATTATAACAAAAATACAACTTAGTGAACAACCTGACAGAACTATTACAGTATACTAGAAAGTCTAAGAAGAAAGTGTAAAATAAACATGTATAACTGTATATTCTGCCTAATTCAATTACGATAAGAAGAAATTAACTACGTGCAAGTCAGGCGGAACACACTAGTTTATTACTGTTGTCGGTGCCAAATAGTCTCATTTACTAAACTGCAGCTTAAACAAAGAACATACACTTACAGATAATGAGCAGATTTTAGCATACATAGGTAAATAAGAATTTTACTGTGAATTATCATAAATTGTATGAAATAATTTTACTGTGAACTGTGAAAATGACGCCCCTGTGAAAATGTATACTGGTTTGTAGTGGATAACGATCCTGACTGCTAAGCAAGGTTAGGTTCGGTTCTCAAGAGTGTGATGAGCACTATGTAACTTATGGGTGTAACTTTTTTGTAATTATAATATGCCACACTTATAGGGGACTAAAGTTACAGTCGGCAAAATGTGTTAGTTAAATACTCCTCAGTCTACCTCCTCGTTTATAGAAGACGTTAGCATAATATATATGAATCCCTGACTGTCCGCTTACAAATAACATGTTTTTACAACGTAACTGTACCTGAGTTTTCTATTGTTATATGCCTTCGTGGTACCTACACCGACTATTGGATCCTGTAAGTCTCACGAGAGACACAGATGCTTATCTATTTATTTAACTCTGTGACCCTGAACTTAGTCAACAACTTGTTCTTGAGGCGCTAGTCCTTAAGCCTTTCATTATCATTTAAGCCCTAAGTTCTAAAGGGATTGTTAATAAAATTCAATTCAATTCAGAAGGTACAAAAGTTTTATAG